TCCAAAACGTCCCTCTATCCCTGACGAGCGAGGTTGATGTCGCAACCAACTCAATCTTTAATTCTGTTGAATGTGTCCTGGTGATGTGTGTTGTCGGTTAAAATGAGTCCTTTCATGGTTGTGCTTATATTTCTTATTCCCGCCAACCCTTACTACCGATGGTTCCACCCTATTTCTTGGTGAAAGTTTAAATAGTGAACATAAAACCTGGGAATTTGCGGAACCTGAAGGAGATCAAAGACTATGCTAAAGTGTCTTCTGGAACAACAATACAATGAGAACCAATTGCACGAGTTAAAAGGCAAGATGGCAAAACTATTCCGCAAGTTGGATGCCCCTCAATGGATCCAAGTGGAGCTATTTAATAGCCAACAATCCAAATATTGATGATAGTAGCAAGAAGAGCATGAATTGACCGGCTTCATTTAATTGGGAGTCCAAAGCAGACAACATCAACAAACCTAGCCAACTTAGGACATTTGAACCTTCGCAGACTGTCCAAATGGGTTGAAGAAGCGAGGACCTGAGAGTCCCAGCCACAAGGATCATGAGGATCAAATTGTTGACTCTAGTATCATTGATTGTTGAGATGCTTGAAAGTCCCTCGAGGAATGTGTCTTCGATGGCCTACTGTTCTCTCGCCCTAGCTCTAGCTGTAGGAGCGCATTGGTCCCTCACTCCAAAACAATTTTTTACATTGTGCTTGGATGGGAACGATAATGAAAATACGAGTCATTCCTCCAACGACCGACAGATTGTCCGACTTTGAGCGAAGTCAAGGAGCATTAAAACATAGGTGCTTAAATATTTCTGAAATCTTCTTCTACCCAGCACTAAGACCATGCAGCTACCATAACTCAGTCTAAAAGCTCAAGAAGAGTAGAACTGCAGTACACATGGCTCGCTTGGTCTGACTCCACTATAGATTTGTGTTACCTCCCACCCCCTGGTAGCGATAGTCCTCGAAAAACTTTGTATGCCAAACTTGGTGGGTTCCGTTCCATTTCTAAAGCTCGACTACGGGTTGTGGACCGGGCAACATTCGTCTATTCGCGCTCGGTGACTGCGACGTTAAATCAAGCGCTTGTGGCCGAGGGCAACCCCAGCTGTTATTTGCTCTTCTGTATTATTCTATTTTTATTTTTATATTTTTTAATTGTCCCGATTATTTGTTCTCACGGTTGGTAGTGTCAAATTTTTTTATCTTCATACTCTCCTAGGAGCATGGGCGCAAAGCAACGGGTATGGAAGATTGCATCAGCAACACCAAATGCGTGGCAACTAAGTGTTTGACCACTTTATCTGCAACCGTTCCACCAGGTACCCACCTTACAACACCTGATCCACTAGAGGAACCAGGCCCTCTGGCCGACGCGATCCCAGTTGTGCGGTTAAGCTACCCCTGGCACTGCGCCGCGATGAACTGCTAAGTTGCTTCAGCTCCGAGGAGGCGCCTTCTTGGTCCTCTCTGGCCCTCACCCCTACCGTGGCAGTTTCCTACCTCCCTTGTATGTATGGCTCTGCCTTGCAGTGTGGGACAATGCACAATCTTTTAAGTGTGGGAGAGATTCTGTGGTGATTTTTCATAGCTCACTTTTAGCGTGTTTTTTTTTTAAAAAGATTGGACTGTTTCCTGATGAGCGATCTTCTAGAACAGTTTTCTGAGGGAAGTAAAGTTTCAAAGAAACATACCCAAAAGATATTTTTGTTCTTGTTAGGTATTAGCAATTACCCCTTGGTTTCTTTTGCAAGACCCACCCGTTCACAGAGGCAACTGTTGGTCCGTCGTACTACCGCGAACCGAGGCAAAACCGCGGCATTCAGCGACTAAAGTGCAAAACATGGGATTTTAAGTCCTATACCCTATATTAAACAAAGGAGGCCGGCCAAGAACAAGAAGGGACATATTTTGAGACATAGATTCGACCTAAGGAGGCAAGAACACATTGGGAGCAAGGCGGAGAATTCTTCTACGAGTTTTTCCTTCCTCTTCCTATTTTTCATTGTTGCTTATGACTTTTAGTATTGTAGTTTTACATACTATTATGAATAGCTAATTTGTTATCTAGAGTTTGATAGAACCTTTTGTAGGATAAATTCTTGTTATGTTTTTATATAATTGAGCCATAGCTTTTCTCTATTTGTTCAACTACGTTTATATTGTGGTTGGTTGAAGAGCTTTCAATTAGCTGTGCCTATTTAGTATGCATAACTCGGGAGAGAGTGCATATTTAGGTAATTGTTGAACAATACCACTCCCAGAGTATATGAGGGATCAATAACCGAGGGTTTAAAGGTGGGATTAGGGATAACGAAGCTTTGGGTGCGATCTGAAGTGAGCTGTATTAAAATCCAGCTAGCGTAGCTCGGGAGAGTGCGTCTAGTAAATTATCATAATTACTCGGGAGAGATTTACGGTAATAAGAGTGCTCATGATCGGTAGAGAATACTTAGGCGAAATTATAGAAGACATAGCGGGAAGGATTCCGACAATTGTGGAAATCATAACTCTAGACCTCCTTAATATTTTCTCTAACCCTCAGTATCGTTAGTTGTTAATTTACTATTTTAATTTATTAGTTAATTAGTTAAACACAGGAATCTTAATATCTATAAGTTAGGAATTGTTCAAGCTTGTCTTCTTGGTGATAGTGAACAGCTGTAGCTAAACCTTAGTTCTCTGTGGGATTCGACTCCGGACTTGTAAACCGGATTATATTTGCAGCGACCGCATTGTCTTTTTTATAAGGCATAGTTGGGCGTGATCAGTGTATAAGGTGAGTTTTTATACAGTATGAGCCTTCCAAACTACAAGAATTTCATGTTGAATCCAACAGTGAAAAAATAAAAAACCAACAATGAATGAGAAGATATTCATGGACTTGTTATTATATACTATTCTTTTATTTTTCTCCTAGAGCGGAAATTTTAAGGCACTCCACTTTTTGTGGTCTACGAGTTAGAATGTTTTAGATAATCAATTTAAATGTTGTGATCTTCGGTTTTTTCTTTATCATCACTTCCAAATTATGATAAATTTTGGGCTTCCTCTTCTTTACAAATTTTGAACTTTACTCCCCTAAAAAATGGCTATAGAAGAACTCATACTATATGCCAGGCTAATTTTTGCACCATAATGATTGCCTAATGACAAATCGTATAGTGTGACACCTTGCACTTGAGCTAATTTTTTCTTAATTATTTGTAACTAACATAACTAGATAAATTCTTAAAGGATTAAAGTTTGCATGTGCAATAATTTTAGAGGCCGGCTGTCTATACATTTAACCTTATCCTTTTGTAAATTTCGAAATATTATCATATTACCACACTACCTAAATATTATACATGATCACTTAAATTCTTGTTTTGTACCTTATCATATTTTCATCAATCCATTGAAATGCGTACAATCTTTTCTCTATTGTTTATACCAAAGCAAACCCTAATTAACATGACTATTGAGAGTGAAAAAGAAGCACAAAATGATCAACCAAAGTTAACGTCTAGCTAAAATTCAATCTTTGGTAGGATATCGACTTTTTATCCAAATCAATAGAATCATTCTTATGCTGGCCAGTTAACTATCTAACAATGAAAACAATGCGGTCTTTCTCTTTCACCATTGCACTTTTGTTTCCATAAGGGAAAAGTATTCAGTATTAATTAGCATTAAAGAAAAAAGTACCTTTCAATCACTCTCTTAACCACAATTTTAAGATTAAATTAATGAAAAAGCAACAAAATAATTCAATATTTTAGAACCCCACACCCCAACCCACACCCCCCAACCCACCTCACTTGTGTACCTAGTTTTTGTGTCATATACAAATCAAAATCATTGTTCCACTTGACAGGTTCAATAAGCTAATTAATTAAAGAGCCATTCACTAGGAGACATTAGACATAAATAGCGAAATCCATTACTTTACATGTGGAATTGAGTCAGCAAATAGATCTAGGCCACAAATTGGCTTCCATTCCATCCACTAACACGTACCCAACCTGTTGGCACATGCACATTCTACCAACTTCTTGAGAAGCAGAGTTACTTATTCACATAATAAGTTTCCTCTAATATTTATTTTTTTGATAACATAGCACAATCTAATTGGTTATTTATTCTTGAGACATTCAATCTTAGCTAAGGTTTCGCCAATTAAAGTCAAATTTTAATTTTGAAAAACTACTTAGCTTTCAACTGACATTTTGCTCATTAATACATATCTTTTATGAGAGTGGGTACACTAGCAATTTTTTTTGCTAGTGTACCCGAAAAGTAGGTACACTAGCAATTTTTTTTGCAAAGCGGGTATAAGTTAAAAGGTGACATAAAAACTAGGTATAGATGCAAATCCCCCTACAAGTTTTCTCTTTGGTTAATACATACATTGAACAATTAACTGAACTAGCAGCCCATATCAATTATAAACTCTAAATAAACCTATTTTATTTTTATAACTCATTTTAAACGTCGAACACATCCTTTTTACTTTTTTTAGCCAGATAAGCTAGTTGATAAGTTAGCCGTAACTGTAGGGATTGTGATTTGAAATCACTTAATTTTAGGGATTATAGGGGATAAGGCACCTATATGAAAATATACGAATATGATAGAGGAAATGAACAAAATCGTCCCTAATGTATGGACGTTGGATCCATTTGGTCCCTGATGTACAACACCTAATGGAAAAGGTCCTTAATGTATATTAAAAGCTAATTAGTTTAGTCTTTAGCCCTAAAAAGTGATGGCACCCTCTAAAAATCCGTCAAAATTAACGGAATGCACGTGAGGAACAAAAGTACAAACAAAAACCTCTGTCTTCTTCCATCATCCCCAAATGTGAACCCATCTCTTTTCCAACAAAAATCATGTTTATCTCTCTTACCGGTTGAGTAAACTCAGTCGAGACAAGCAAGGTTTCTCCATTGTTGAACAATGTTAATCAAAAGAAATGATGTCCGATCAAACCCATGTTATGGTAAGAATTTACAATAGGTTATTTTGCTTTTGCCGAGACAAGTAAAGTTTTTCCAACCTATTTTTCATTCACAATATGATGGGTTGTTACTATTAATTTTTTAATCCTCTTATAAAATTCCACCCTTTTGATTTATTTTTTACCGTTTGTATTATTTAGTTGTTATAATATAGTGAATTCAGGAATATTTAGAAGTTGGTGTTGCTTAAAAATATACATACTTCATTTTGTAACATCTACAATATGGTCCTGACGTGTTAAAAATGTATTCTTTTATCTGTAGATCCTGTGTCCGAGGACGCATTTTTCAGTATTAAAGTTTATCATAAAGGATCGATGAAACATCAACCAACCAAACAATATGTTGGTGGAATCGTTGACTACTTTGACTATGTCGAAATGAAGGATCTCAATCTTGCTGGTCTGAAGAAAATGGTCGAAATATGTGGTTATCTTACTGACTCGATAACATTTTGGCATAAATGCGGAAAGTTCGGTAACAGATGGAGATTAGTCTCCACCAAAGTTGAAGCTCACACAATAGAAAAATTCATCCCTAAAGATAGAGTAATGGAGTTATTTTTTGAACATTTGGACTCTTATATTGGAATAGATCCAGTTGAGCTTGATTGCCAAACTAGTTGCATTCCAAATAATGAAGATGTTACTGGACTTGTTAACAAAGAGCTTGAAAGGGAGAATTTATCTGGCAGGGATGAGTTTGAGGATTCTAAAAATGAATTTTCAGATGAAGATGCAATGGTTGATAAACATGGACAATTTAAACATTGCTTTGAGGATGGTAGAGAGCTTGTTAGTGCTAAAAGACAGAGGAAGATGTCAAATAAAGAGGGTGTTTGGATGGGCTTAAAAGCTCTTTTAAGCACTTTTTTATTTTTTAGAGTGTTTGGCAACAAAAAAAGCTGCTTAAAAAAAGTTAAAAATTGCTTAAAAAAAGCCAAAAGCAACAAGTTGGTTGATCCCAACTTTTTTGATTTTGGCTTAAAAACCATTTTAGTTTGACCAATAAAATTACTCTCTTGCCCTTATAAGTTTTTATAATACCAAAATTACCCTCTTCTTTCCTCTTCCTCTTCATTTTTCTGTACTTTTCTACAAGCAATTGCCCTTTTATTTTTGTCTTTTTAATAAGAAAAAGTGCTTACCACCACTTGTTTGCCAAACACTTCAACAACTTTTTTTAAGCTTCAGCACTTTTATCCAAACATGTAACTGCTTATTTATAAAATAAGCTGCAGCACTTAAAAGTTGCTTTTAAGCACTTGTGCTTAAAAGCCACTTTTTTTAAGCCAATCCAAACGGGCTCATTCTGATTTTGTGAACTTTGAAGACAACAAGAGTTTGGATAGTGATTCCGACAACGAGAGCTTTGATTTTCCAAAGCACAATCCAATGACTGATGGAAAAAATCCAGTGTTAGCTTTGGAATATACCTTTCATAGTAAGAAGGAGTTAAAAAATGCAGTAACAACTTATGAGGTAAATGAAGGGCGGTATATCAAGTGGAAAAAGAATGATAATATACGGATTAGAGCAGTGTGCATACACGACGATTGCGAATGGGAAATAATGGCGTAAAAAATGCACAAGGACAAGGCATTTCAAATAAAGACTTTGATGTTTTAACTTCAATACCACACAAGAGGGGGTGATCTGTGTGGTGTCCAATTTTTCGCTTAAACTGATTATGGAAGGACCTGCTTCTTTGTAACGACCCGGTCGGTCGTTTTAAGAATTAACGCCCCGATCCCCCATTAACTGCATTTCCCGTATTTGTTTCTGCTATTGTGAGTTGCCGGGAAGATCTATTTGGAGTTTCGGAGAGTTTTGGGACACTTAGTCCCTAAAAGAGAGTTTAAGTTTTAGAATTTGGACCGTAGTCGGAGCAGTATAAAGACGGCCTCGGAATGGAATTCCGTTGGTCCCATTAGCTCCGTTGAGTGATATCGGGTTTAGGAGCGTGTTCGGATTGTATTTTGGAGGTCCGTAGCTTATTTAGGCTTGAAATGCCGAAAGTTGAATTTTTGAAGTTTCCGGTTCGATAGTGAGATTCTGATATTGGGGTCGGAATGGAATTCCGGAAGTTGAAGTAGGTCCGTAGTGTTGAATGTGACGTGCTTGCAAAATTTCAGGTCATTCGGACGAGTTTTGATAGACTTTTTGATCGAAAGAGGAATTTGGAAGTTTTTGGAATTCTTAGGCTTGAATTCGATGATGATTGGTGGTTCGATGTTGTTTGAGGTGTTTTGATGATTGGTACAAGTTTAAACAGTGGTATAGGACTTGTTCGTGCTTTTGGTTGAGATCCCGGGGGCCTCAGGGTGATTTCGTGTGGTTAACGGGAGATTTTGAGTTGGGTTTGGCAACTGAAGTTTTCTATTGCTGTCATAACCGCACCTGCGGCTAGGGGACCGCAGGTGCGGACTCGCAGAAGCAGATATGGGGCCGCAGATGCGGCCACAGGCGAAGAGAGAGAAGACGCAGATGCGGGCGGTAAGCCGCACCTACGAGCCCGCAGATGCAGAGTCTGGGTCGCAGGTGCGGAGCCTTTGACCGCAGAAGCGGAAGCATAGAAGTGGAAATAGACCGCAGGTGCGAATAGCCTGGGTCAGAAAGTATAAAAGATCTCCTTCGCGATTTTTGGCCATTTTTCTCAATATTTCATTCGGGGTGGAGCTTTTGGGAGCAATTTCAAGGGAGATTTTTAGAGGGACTCATTGAGGTAAGATCCTTGGTTCCTAAGCTCGTTATTATGGTAATTTTTATCATTGTAAGCATGAAATTTGAAGGAAAATCAGTGGTAAATTGGGGGTTAGGGCTTGGTTAATTGGAGAGCGTTGAGTGGTGATTTGAGGGACCATTTGAGGTCCGATTTTGGTACTTTTGATATGAGTGAACTCATGAGAGTGTGAGGATCCCGAATTTATAAATTTCACCCGATTTCGAGACGTGGGCCCGAAGGGCGTTTTGGTCATTTTTCCTAATTTCGCGTATTAATTTAGAATTAATTAGTGGAATCAGTTACTTGAAGTTTTATTTACATTATGCAATTGATTTGAATAGATTTGGGCCATTTGGAGTCGGATACTCGTGGCAAGAACGTGGTATAGATTTGATTAAGCTGGTTCGAGGTAAGTGGCTTGTCTAACCTTGTGTGGGGGACATTCCCCCTAGGATTTGGTATTGTTGTTATATGAATGTCGCGTACGTGAGGTGACGAGTGCGTACACGTGCTAATTGTTGGAAACCCATTTTTCATTAAGTAAATTAGCTGTGTTTCTTTCTTCTTGAACATTACTTGTATTTTAAGCCTACTGCGTAGTTTAAGGAAGCATGCCTAAGTGTATTAAGTGTCCTATCTGCTTAAACAGTTTATGTGAACTCTGTGCAGCGTGTTAGGTTAGAATTACCTGTCCGTTTTGATATTAATTGTTTGAGTTGATTATCCTTGTGTTGTTGCTGCGTGTTTACATTGGGACTACGGGCGGTTCCCGGTAGACCCCCCTTGTCTGTTTATTTGGGACTACGGATGTGGTATTCCGGTAGATCCCCCTGCACAGTTATATGGAACTACGGGACTGCACCCGGTAGATTCCCCCAGTACTGGGTATTTATATTTGGGGACTACGGATCGAGATTCCGGTAGATCCCCGGTGCACTATGAGTTGGACTACGGGATGACACCCGGGAGAACTGGACATTTACATTTGGGGGCTACAGGACGGTATCCTGGTAGATCCCCGGTTGCTGGATATTTACCTTTGGGGGCTACATGATGGTATCCTTGTAGATCCCCGGTTGCCATCTCTGTGTTGAGCAGTATTCTTTCTGCGATATTTTCTCTGTTGTAATTGTTGTTATTCTTATCATTATACTGTGTTACTTCATACTGTTTCGCTCTTGAATGAAATTGTGGATTCTTTCCTTGATATTGTTGTCTTTTATTTTGGGACTACGGATGAGTATCCCGGGAGATTCCCCTGCGCATATATTGATTTTGACTGTAGTGCGGGATACCAAGAGATCCCCAGCACATATATTGAGGATACCAAGAGATCCTCGGGATACCAAGAGATCCCCAGCACATATATTGAGGATACCAAGAGATCCTCGGGATACCAAGAGATCCCCAGTATATATATTGAGGATACCAAGAGATCCTCGGGATACCAAGAGATCCCTAGCATACATATTGATACTGAGAGATCCCCGAGTATTTACGTTTGGGACTACGGGACGGGATCTCGGGAGATCCCCTGTCGATGTTTCTATGTACTGAGTGTATATTTGTCTCTGATTCTTCTCATTTTCTGATACTGTTTTAAGTATACTGTTGCACCTTACACTGTCTTACCTTGCTTTATATTTTATAACCGGTAGGGCCCTGACCTTCCTCGTCACTACCCGACCGAGGTTAGGCTTGGCACTTACTGGGTACCGGTATGGTGTACTCATGCCCTTTCCTGCACATGTTTTTCCGTGTGCAGATCCAGGTACATCGACTCAGCCATATCGTTAGTGAGGCGAGGCGATCTCTAGAGACTTTGAGGTATATCTGCCGCGTCCGCAGACCGAAGAGTCCCTATCTACTCTCTCTTTTAGTTATAGCCCTTCTGTATTTCTTCTTTTGTTTAGACACTCTGGAGTTAGAACACTTGGTAGTTATTCTTAGCTTGTGATTTCATGAGATTTTGGGTTTTGGGAAATGTAGTTTCAGTCTGAGAGTTTGTATTGTATATGCCGAGCGGCATCTTAAATGTTTCATTATGTTATTCCGCAGTTTTTGGCTAGTTTTATTCTGTTGTTTCTTTTTCCGCAATTTGTTAGGCTTACCTAGTCGTAGAGACTAGGTGCCGTCACGATAGTTCATGGAGGGCGAACTGGGGTCGTGACATTCTTCTTAGTGTTCCTTAACCTACTATTGCTGAAATAGTAAATGCAGAAAGTAAAGAACACAAGTATTTTACGTGGAAAACACCTGGTTCAAAATGTGAAAAACCACAACCTACTTCTAGTAGGATTTCCCCAAGCTTTCCACTAAATCAATGAGCCAAAGACTGCATTTACAAAATACTTTTGTAAACCTAGGATTAACTCTAATCCCGTTGTAGCAAACAACCTCTAACTATTGCGACAACTTCAAGTTAACTCTAACTTGAATACTCTAAGTACCTATTACAATTGCCTCTAGATAAAGCTGAAAGGTACAATATGAAAATACCAGCTACAATTGAACTAGAATAAAAGATAGACACTTGGAAATGGTTCTTCTATCTGGTTCATGTAGCTTCAGGTTTACACACTTGAATCATACATGAACTGTTTGCAAAAAGCCTTGCTATTTTACTCTCAATTCACGTTTAACTTCTGCGTTTGTGCATTACCTGTAAAGTGAGAACATCCTGCAATTTACAGAGTTATTAGATGAAGAAATAACTAGAGTTCTAATGTTACTTTTTCTTGGTGAAAGAGTTCTAGTTGATCTCAACTTCTACCTCCTTCCCTATCTTGGATAGTGTTCTCTTTCAGTAAGGAGTCCTTCTCCTTATCAATTATGCAAACTTTTCGATCAGGAGATATCAAATATGCCAAGTTAAGCTTATCTCCTTCACGTGCATCCCACATGCTCGAATCTGCCGTTTCTATGAACCAAGGGATGGACCTGGTTCATGTCTGAGCTTCCTTTGTCATTCTTCAAAACTAACCTTCACTTGGGCCAATAAATTCCCTCTTTTTGATGATGACAAACTCTGTGCTTTTTCATAAGCTTAGGCCCTGTTTCAACTTAGCTTAACATCAACACAATGTTAGAAATATTTTTCCTTTTTATCACTTATCATCAAGGACCAGGTTCATTAGGTTATAAATATCACCGTTCAAAGTATAAAGCACAACCTTTTCCCCCTTTTGGCATCATCGAAAAGTTGCATAAATAATGTGAGATAACCAGATTTAAAACTTATGGACACTGAGGCTAATTCAAATGCAAACATGGATTAATCATCATAGATCAAGCTAAGAATTTCAACCATCAAAGAAATATAAACAAACAGTTAGAGCAAAAACAGTGAATTTCATTTATGATTGATAAGATTCTATCACAAAGCATAAAAGAAATAAAAATACTGAAAACATGAGCAAAAGAAACAAAAGTCCCGAACTGGGTCACTGGTTGATCTATACTAGGCTAGGAGGCTTAAGGCTTGGAAGAACTAGGGGCTTGGTTTTTGGCTTGGAGAAGTTTCAACATGTCTTGAAGAATTCCATCATTCTTCTCCTTTTCCCTTGCCAGTTCAGTTCTGAGAGCATCTCTCTCAAACTCTACCTCAGCCAACCGTGTCTTCAGCGTTGCTATCTCAGCATCCTTTGCCCCACTCTCCTGCACCAAGGCTCTGACCTTGTTATTGACTGGTGCCTTCTTGGATGAACCAGGTTCATTCGGAGTGGCATGGACCTCATAGTCACAAGCAATCAGAGTTTTTGCCCCAAAGTGATCTTTGCTTGTGGTCACCTCCCACTTCTTCAGAGGCACCTTAAAATGTGCGAGCACAGCTGTGAGAATGAAGCCATGGGGAATGGCATGAGACCCTGTCAAGAAGCTGGATTATAAATCCAGGCCAATTAATTTGCTTTGTCCAAACACTCCATGAGGACCAAGTCCGCAAAGCTTGCAATATGCCTCCTTTCCTGCCTTGGCAGAACACATTTGTTGACGAATTCAAACAGCACTTTGTGGGGTGGCGTCACCTCACTCTTGTACACAGCCTTAGGCTCAATTTCCTCCTTATTGTCACCAAATTTTCTGGTAATGGCAAGAGCAGTAGGGATATTTTCTAGGCTTGGCCACTTAAGTTTTTTGTAGTCATTGTACCCCCCAGCAGGTACACCTAGAATTTCACCCAACTCCTTCATATTGAAAGAGATTTGCACCCCTTTCACCAAGATGGTAACTCGTTCATCCTTCACTGCACCATTTTCTATAAACTCAACAATTCATCCCTGGCCAACCCGCCATCCATCTGAAGGATCATGTGCTTCCAGCCTTGCTACTCCAATTTTTTCAGAAGTAACACCATTCCTTCCTCCTCCAAATCTCTGAGGAGTCTGCCCTTCAGAATTGTTCTCTAGCCAAAATTGGCCATCTTGTCCTTTCAGTATCTGAATCATCTTCCTCTTCCTATCCACTCCATTCTTCCTCAGCAATATTTTCCTTTTTAGTTTTCACTGCAGACCTGGTCCTTTTTGTCAGGGTGGATGGTTCAACAGACTTTGACATAGAAGTAGACTTCTTAGTAGAAGTCTTGGCTTTCTTGGGCTTGGGAGTCTGAACCTCCACTTCAGCAATCACATCTTCATCTTGATGGACCAGGTCCATCTCATCAACATCAACAGCCTCAACAGGCTCTCCCACCTTCTTCTTCCCTTTGTCCATCCTTTTCTTTTTGCTTTCTTCTAAGGCTCTCTGCAGCTCTTCCTCATTCTGCTTTAGCTGACTTCTTGTGGCTCTTCCTCTTGTGGGAGGAATTTCAATAGTGACAGAAGGGGCGGCCTTCATTTTCTTGTTAGACCTAGCAATACCAGGGGTCTTAGCCTTGGAAGTTCTCTTCTTCTTGGGGTTGTAGCTGTCACCTACTTTCTTCAATAGGTCTGCGAGGGTTTCTTCAACTGATGAACCAGGTTCATCTACTTTTTGCCCAAGGTTAACCAGCCCTTTAGCGGCTTCGCCAGACCTACTTCCCTTATTTTCTTGGCACTTTCCTCCACTTTATCCGATTCTGCTCCACAAATAGCCATTCTACCTTTATCAGAAGTGGGTAAAGAATCAACCACTCTTTTCCCCATTCCCCTTTCTTAACTTCGAACACCCTCACTATCTTTTTCTTTTTCCTTTTTATTTTTACCACCTCTCTTTCTTGACTCAGAAGTTTCTACATCCACCATAGATCCAACCAAAATAAACCTAGTCTTTAGATTTTCAGCCAACTAAAAAATGACCTCAGTAGTAGTATCTGGGCCAGAAGTTACATTTTCAGTATCAGAAGACTCAGTTTCTTCCCCCTCAGTAGCAGACTTGTAGGATTCTTCAGAGTTGTGGGGTTCTTGGGCTTGGCTAGCTTTCAATTGAGCGTCTAATTTCTTTGATAATTCCCTCCCATCTACTTTCTTTCGAGCAAACATCTTTACTTTTCTTTTCTTAGGCTGAGGAGTGGTTTAAGATGAGGAGCATGGTGGGGGAGTACCGGGTTTATCAGAGGGGTTAGTCATTTTGTGCTTGGTTCTTGGAAGAAAGAAGAAAGGTAGATTGAAATTTGGAGGATGAGAGAAGATGGGAAGTGTTTTAGACGGTTTGAGAATTATGAAGAGAAGGCAGAGATGATGATGATCAATTTAAAGGGAGTGGGTAATTTATGGGTAACGACAGGCTCATCAGTCTTTTAGAAGTCTAATCGAACTGAAATGTCAGTTTTGAATAGACGGTGGAGTCTTCCCTAGAATCTAGGTGATTTAATTTGGTTAGGATTCTTTTGAACAGAATTGGTTCAAATTAATTGGATAACTTTAAGAGAAATTTGGACTTAGGTAGGGCTCTGCTCAGGTTCAAATATTATTGTTTCAAATTATGCAAAGGGTAGAAAACATACCGTGTTATTTTGATGAACCAGATTCTTTACTGATAATTCTCTTGTGTAAGTCTAGATTTGCCAAACTAGAGAAAAGATCATTAGAGATTAATGAGTCATTTTAACACATGGCACAGGAGTATACTATTGAAAGTATGAGATTGAGCAAGATCTAATCTACTTAAGTACAAGATTTTACAGATTTTCTAACCAAATTTTGTTTTCAATTTTTTTTTCTTTTAACCTTGAACTGGACCTTTTAGGTGATCTTAATCATCCATAATTCCAACATGTTCCTCTCAAAGTGATCTCTACTTAAGGCTTTTGTGAAGATGTCAGCAATTGTTTTGTTAGTAGCACAAAACTCCACAGTGATCAAGCCTTTCTCATAGTTGTCCCTCAAAAAATGGTGCCTAACATCTATGTTCTTAGTTCTCTTATGATGAACCGAGTTCTTTGTCATACTAATGGCACTAGTGTTATCATAAAATATGAGAATGCAACCAACATCAATTCCAAAGTCCAATAATTGCTATTTGATCCACAACAATTGAGCACAACATGAAGCAACAACAACATACTCAGCTTCAGCAGTAGATAAGGCCACTGAATTTTGCTTTTTGGTAGCCCATGACACAAGACATGAACCAAGAAAGCATGCCATACCTGAGGTTCTCTTCCTATCCACAAGGAAATTTGCATAATCAGCGTCAGCATATCCCACTAGGTTAAAATTACTACATTTTAGATACCAAAGACAAAGGTCAGTGGTGCCTTTCAAGTATCTCAATATTCTCTTGACAGCAGTCAAGTGGGACTCCTTTGGATTTGCCTGAAATCGAGTACAAAGACCTACACTGAAAACAATGTCAAGTCTGCTAGCAGTGAGATATAAAATAGAACCAATCATTACCCTATACAACTTTTGATCAACAGATGAACCAGGTTCGTCTATATCCAATTTTGTGGTTGTTGCTATAGGAGTATCGATTTCTTTTGATTCTTCCATTTTAAACCTTTTAAGCAACTCTTTCACATATTTTTGCTGATGGATCATTGTTCCATTTGAGTTTTTTTAATTTGTAAGCCTAACAAGAAATTAAGCTTACCCATCATACTCATTTCAAATTCACTCCCCATTAGTTTAGCAAATTCCTTACTTAGTTTATCAGTAGTTACTCCAAAGATTATATCATCAACGTATATATGCACTACTAGAAGGTCTTTATCATTTTCCTTCAAGAATAAAGTGTTATCGATTTTACCTCTCTTGTAACCATGCTCAAGCAGGAATTTTGATAATCTTTCATACCATGCTCTAGGAGCCTGCTTGAGCCCATAAAGTGCCTTGTCAAGTTTGTACACATGATCAGGACACTCCCTACTTTCAAACCCTGGAGGTTGCTTGACAAACACTTCTTCCTTTAAATAGCCATTGAGGAAGGCACTCTTGAGTCCATCTGGTGAAGAGTGAATTCCATATAAGTAGCAAAGGCTATGATGAGTCTTATTGCTTCCAACCTTGCAACTGGAGCAAAGGTCTCATCATAGTCTATGCCCTCCTCTTGGCTATATCCTTGAACCACCAATCTTGCCTTGTTCCTTGTAATTGTTCCATCTTCATCAAGTTTGTTTCTAAAGACCCATTTTATGCTAATTACTGATCTGTCCTTGGGTCTTGGTACTAGGTGCCAAACTCGACTCCTTTCAAACTAGTTGAGTTCATCTTGCATTGCATTTACCCAATCTGCATCCTGCAAAGCCTCAGCAACATTTTTAGGTGCAAAAAGAGATAAGAAAGCATCAAAAGCACAAAGATTCTTTAATGAAGATCTGGTTTTAATTCCAGAGGTTGGATCAGTAATTATGTTCTCAATGGGATGATAACTTTGGTACTTGTAAGGTTTCACAACCAACTGTTTCCTCTTGATGTTTCTCCAATATTTTGTTGCTGAGGAACAGGTTCATGGACAGGTTCCATCGAGGTATGAGATTTAGTTCCTCTTTGTTCAGTTCCCTCTGTCAAGTTGCCCTAAATAGAAGAACCTGTTCCATCACCTATTCCTTCTTCTGGTGCAGCTTTAGCCTGGGTTGTGATTTCATTTAAATTTCTTACCAGCCCAATTGTTTCATCTTCATGTTCCTGTCTCTCATAAAGAATGCTAGTTTCATCAAAAACCATATGTACACTTTCTTCTACACACAGTTATTTTGTTGTATACCTTATAAGCTTTACTATGTGAAGAATATCCCAAGAATGCTCCCTCATCCCTTCTGGGATCAAACTTACCTAGGGAGTCTTTACCATTGTTGTGCACAAAGCACTTGCATCCAAATGCCCTAAGATGGGATATATTTGATTTTCTCCCTTTAAGTAACTCATAGGGAGTCTTCTCTACAAGAGGTCTAGTCATGCACCTATTGATGATGTAGCATGCAGTATTACAGCTTCTGCCCAGAAACTGCGGAGCTGTTTACTAGAAAGAAGCATAGTCCTAGCCATATATTCAAGTGTCCTATTCTTTCTTTCAACTACTTCATTTTGTTGTGGAGTCCTAGGAGTAGAAGAATTATGATCTATGCTATGCACATCACAAAATTCAGCAAACTTAGCATTTTCAAATTCAGTTCTATGATCAGACCTAATTAATGCAAGTTGGTTACCTAGTTGTTTCTGAGTTTTTCTAACAAAAGAAGTAAACATGTCAAATGCTTCATCTTTAGATATTAAAAACAATGTCCAGGTAAACCTAGAGTAATCATCAACAAGCACCATCACATATCTTTTACCACCTCTGCTTAATGTTCTCATTGGACCATAGAGTTCCATCGTTCTGGTGGTGCTTACCACTTTCTTGCATTTAAAAGAGGATCTTAGCTGCTTCCCCCTTGCACAAGCCTCACAAATTTTGTCTTCCTTAAACTTGATGTTAGGCAGCCCTACCACCAGGTCCTTGGAGACTAATTTGTTGAGTTGACTCAGACTTGCATGTCCAAGTCTCTTGTGCCAATGGAAGGGATCATTGTCTAGCACACTTAAGCAAGTGAGTTCATTTTCTGAAAGTGTGGACAGATCTACAACGTATATATTGTTTACTCTTGTTCCCTGCAAAACAATCTTGCCTGTGGTAAGATTAATCATAAAATATTTAGTAAAGGTGAAAGCTACCAAGTTACCTCTATCACACAATTGTGATATACTGATTAGACTGTATTTTAGGCCATCTATCAAGTAGACATTCTCAATAGAGTGAGAATCAGTTTTACCTACCTTTCCAACCCCAATGATCTCACCTTTCTTCCCATTTCCAAATGAGACATTACCTTCTTTGAGGTCCTCAAGTGAAAGGAACAGTTCTTGCTTCCTGTCATGTGCTTTGAGCAGCCACTATCCATGTACCATATTTGGCTGCTTCCCTTCACTTGGACCTGCAAAAGGAAATCTGGGGTTAGTCTTAGGAACCCAAACTAGTTTGGGTCCCTTTCTATTGGCAAAAGGGTGAATCAGATTCCTTTTGGACCAACCTGGCAACCTATTTTTCCCTTGAACAAATATTTTATTCTTTTAACTAGCCTTTTCTTTTGTAGTACGTTCACTTTTGTAGTGACCAGTTTTACTATAGTGTGTGCAAATTTTATTCTCAGGAAGTATGAGGTACTTGCTTTTGGGATCTTGATAATAAGCTAGATTCATGTAGTTTGGCGACTATTTATGCCCCAACTTGACTATGCTTCACTGTTCTAGGAAGGTTAAATGACGATAAAATGGCTCTAATTGTGAATTTTATGTTTTGCAGGAGCAAGTCGTGCTATGAGGACTTAGGACAGTGTTTGGAGCTAAATTAAAGCAAGGAAAGCCCCTCGGAGTTGAGTACGTGGGAAAGAAGAAAGAAAAGAGGAGATAAAGAGCTGATCCACTCTAGCGTGGGCCAAGCGCGGCCTTAGCGTGGCCACGCTAGAGCAGAAGAAATGGGACAGTGTAGAACGCCATATGCGCGGCCCAAGCGCGGTTACGAGCGCGGCCGCGCTAGTCAATCCGAAGCGCAGAAATTTCAGGGGTAAACTTGGAAGTTTGGGGGCAATTCCACTTAACCTATAAGAGGTCCAGCTCGCCCAAAAAGAGGATATCAAGGTTTTCATAGTTTTGTTCAAGGCAAGAAGAGGCAAGAGGCAAGGAGGATAATTCGACAACGAGTTCACCTTTCTTCCTTTTGTTTTTATCATTCATGATGAATTTTTCTGTTGTTATTATGAACACAATTATGAGTAGCTAATTATTTAGTCTAAGGTTTTGATGGAACCTGTTGAAGGATGAACTTCTTGTTGTGTTAATATAGCTTGCCCAGTTTAATCTCTATTTGTTCAACTACGTTCTTGTTGTAGTTAATTGACAGGATCCTCAATTAGCTGTGCCTATTTAATATGTATTACTTGGGAGAAAGTGCATATTTAGGTATTTTTGAACAACACCACTCCCAAAGTATATGAGGAATCAATAACTGAGGGTTTAAAGGTGAGATTGGGGATAACGAAACCTTGGGTACGATCTAAGTGAGA